GAATATTTTGTGATATAAAAGGTAGAAAAGACTTGTGCTTCTAAGGAGAAAAACATTGTAGCACATGTATCATGGGTGGTGCTAATTGACCAATACGGGAAGAGAATTAATTCTTGCATCCTCACTATGTGATTCCTTGGAGGCGGGAGGCCATTAACTAATAAATTAGTGCCCTTAATGATATCCTTACTGACTTTCAGCTAGTGTTGGAAAAAGCATGCAAGGCACTAGGCGATTCTTGGCTGCTTTGCTTAGGCCCTAGGTAGTAGAGCTAGGCCTTTCATTTATTTTTTGGATTTTTTTGATGAACTTTTGCATTTTTTCTTTTTTTTTTAAAGAGAAACGCCTACACAGTGGTCCAGTGCCCCTTATTGCCTTGCGCTTTTTGCAACATTGCTTTCAACTATTTTATGAAGGAATGGATCAATGTTGCTACTTTAACGTATTCTGTAAGACTACAATAATTTAGCCTATGGGATGCAATTGGAAACTGTGTTGAATTAGAATGGATGGGTCATGCATTGGAAAGGAATAACATTATGTTAAAATTTTAAACATGTATCATCAACCCACAATTATGTAATCTTTAAAAAATAACTTGATTGTAATTTGTAAATACATGATAGAGTAGAGATGGTTAAACATAGCCTTGAGGGGTTACGTGATTGTTCTTATAAAAATGAATTTACGATACAAGTATATAATTATCACATAACTAAGATGGTTGGTAGACATAGTATCAAGCTCCTTGAAAGATTAGTATGATGCCTTTCAGTCGCACAACCACTTTTTCGTATGCTTTGAAAATTCATCTGACTAAGAGAATGGATGTGAAACACTTTATAAAGCCACTGACTATTCTACAAGAGAGGGTCAAACACATCGTTTGTAAGTGGGAGATGTTGGCTAACTTGGGTACCCATTTTGAGTAACCTAGATGCAAAGAAAACAGAAACTAGTTGCATGTATGATTACATGCATGGAGTCTACATGAAACACTGCTTTGCACACTTTCCCCCTTTGTGAATGGGCAAGAGATGTTGAAGGCTATTGCATATAAAGAAGTTTGAATGAACAACCCTCTATCTAAGAACATTTCAAGCTTTATTCTCTTAGATTTTTCTTTCAAGAATTAAGGCTCTTGAGCTAGTATGTGCATGCTTTCCTCATGTGATGACACTCAATTGAAGAGTAAATTACTTCATCTATCAACCAAGATTTTAAGCAAGTTTTTAGGTTCATTTTTCTTAAATTCAAAATTAGTTTATTTTAATTCCCAAAAATGGTCCTTTGTAGATAAAACAAGGCTAGCATCTTTTGGAAAATTACTAAAGGTGTACTGTTTGTGCTCCATTCTTAGATTTATGAAAGGCTTCCATGATTTCAGTTTTAACTAAGCTGAATGGCTTATCTTGTTTGAGTGGTTTCAGGTGAAAGATGGGTAGAAATCTTAGTCCAATACTTCAGCGAGAGCTGGAAAATCTTGACAAGGATGCTAATAGTTGTAAATCAGCAATGAGAGCTCTTAAATCATATGTGAGAGACCTAGATTCAACAGCAATACCAATCTTCCTTGCACAAGTATCTGAGACCAAAGAAACTGGATCCGTATCTGGGGGATACACCATTTCACTTTATGAGGTTCTTGCCCGTTTGCATGGTGTGAAGATTGTTCCTCAGATTGGCATCATTATGTCAACCATTATCAAGACACTAGCTTCAAGCGCAGATTCTTTTCCTCTTCGACAGGCATGCTCAAAGGTGTTCCCTGCAATTGCAAGATACGGAATTGGTCCAACCACACCAGAAGATAAGAGGAGGCACATAATTCATTCTCTCTGAAAGCCTCTTTCAGATTCTCTCCTAGGATCTCCAGAAAGCCTAACTTCAGGGTCTGCTCTTTGCTTGAAGGCCCTTGTAGAATGTGATAATTGGCGGTTTGCTTCAAATGAGATGGTTAACAAGGTTTGTCAAAATGTGGCTGGGGCTCTG